GAATCAGTATAGCGGCTACTCAGAGACGCCGATAAGGTAGTCATAATCGGCAATGAAGGAGACTTTTCTGCCATTAGAGCAAAACATTAGCTTTGAGCTCATAATACGTACAAGAGATCATAAAAAATGACACTTTGAATTCAATATTGCATACAGTTTGAGACACCACATCTGTATGGCATACAACTCCTTCACACTTTAACTAACCAAAAATATACAACAAGAATTAGCTGTGTATTAATTCCCCAATGGCATAGTTTTTTCCGACTCACTCAAAAATTTGTGCAGCGCAACATCGACACCTGCAGGCCGCCATACTTGCGTTTCCCTGTTCCTCATAACACAGGCTAACTTCTCAAAAAGGTTTAGCTTAGTTTTATCGTACGTGGATTTTCTTCCTGGCTCCCAGTCTATTACTGATTACTTGGGCCGGATTTTAATTAAATGTCATTTTTTCTTTTCACTTTAGAACAATGCCATATCTAGTATATAAATTCATTTTGTGTATGACGAAACGAAATGACCCGTTTTTATACATCATTTTTTGCATTTTTCGTCTATTTCGACTAATAACTCATTTTCTTTACCCTTTTGCGACATTTTTACTGCAATTTTCGTTGATTTAATCGATTTTAATATTATATAATGGTACTTGCTTCAAACCATATTTACGAATATTACCATATTTACGGTTAAAAAATGTTCACCACAGAATTCCTAAGTAACCTACTCGATTTCTTCGCTCATATTTATTGTAATGTCAGCTGTTGTGAGTACTATGTAATCTAAGGTTTCTGTAACGTTTATCGGCGCCATTGTGAGTTCGGCCCATTTCGCGACAAATTAATGCAGAGATTTTATTTTAAAGAACAGTCCAAACCCAAAGTTTGTAATCTGAGTTCACTACAACAAAAGAAGTCTCGATTACAACAATAACATCCAATCTCGCGTGGTTTTGATCAACATTTTTACGTCATTTTTCTTTGCTTTTGAGGCATTTATAAAGCATTTTAAGAGCATTTTATTGATCATTTTTGGCAATGTTTTAGGTCATTAAAATCCGTTCTCTACTGATTTTCCAGCGAAGTGTCAGATAGAGATCCTGGCGCGCAATGACAGCACACGGCGTTAGCGAAAACTGCACGACCATTACTTCTTTATTTTTTTCAATAACTTCCAGAGCGAGACGGCAGCTAATTTCTTCACAGCACAAATAAATAGTGAATATCTTTCCATGGGAAAACTCAGGACATATTTCCACCCGCACCTGTTGAAACGGCGATGAGAGACGGCTTGTTGGTGAAACGGCGAACTCAAAAAAATAACATGTATTGAAAATCAATTTTTTAAATGAAAACTCCACTTGAATTCGAAATCTTGCGCTCCCACACTTACTAATATGTTCAAGAGGGAAAAAAAACCTGTGCGCGGCCCAAGATTTGATCTGGACACCTTCGGCACTTCAGGGAAAGGCTGAACTATTTCGGTCTTTATACAAACCATTCTTTATACTCCTTTGAGCATAGTGGCACTTCAAGGACACAAGCTGGAAAGAGAGGGGGGGGCGGTCATCCAATCGAAACCACCAATACCAAAAATTTAAGTCACAACGAAGCTCTCAATTGTCCATCTCTCCGTCTTATCGTGTGAAACTGTTTAAATCGTAGTATAAAATATCACCCACTACTTTCAATTTCATAATTTTGTTGACACTAAAAAATATCTCCAAAAATCTTGCACTTCGAAAAAATGTAAAAGGAATTATTTAAAAATAGATTGTATGAGAAAAAAATCTAGCTTGATTATTATTGAAGGAGTTCAGGATTGCAAAACATACATATTGTCATCATATAACTCAAAATTATGCAAAACTACTAATATTTGAAAATAATATACATAAAATGATTTTAAAATGTAATATTAAGGAAAAGATTGCATTACAGAACTTTGTATTATTTAGAATTTTGTTATTAAATTGAAAAATGATGCATGCAAAAATAGTATAAATGAGTTGTATGACAAAGAGTACATTATTTCTTTTAGATTATATTTAAAAAAATAAAGAAGTAAGTGAGTTAATTCTATACCAAAACATCAATTATTAATATTTCAAAAATAATTAACTTTTAAAAAATATGTAGTGAACTGTGGCTGTTGTTCTGGTTTAGAAAATGGAAATTTTGATCTGATGAAAGATGGAATTCTTTGCTTTGTGTAAAACTTCATACTAGCTGAACTCACCAGGAGATTCGAAAAAAGGTGAATCCATCATACTTCTCACCATCTCTATAATTCTGAATTCCCATTTCATAAGGGTGCATGCTTTGGCATTTACACGTGCCTAAACTTCATAAAGGACCAAATGAAAAATGATGAACGTGAAACTGGATGAAAGATACTGTACTTACAAAGAAATCATTGAAATTTTTTATCTTTTATACTTTTAATTAAAATTTAAATCATTGTCAATTTATTATACTTACCTCTCATTTTTCCTGAAAAATTTATTAACAATATATCAAGGAAGGTTAAATCTCTACCAACATATTTCTGAATGTACTCATAGGAACTATAAAGATATTTCCAAAGGTTCTAAGGGTTCTTAGGCTTCTTGCTAAAGGACATAATGTAACTGACAAGTAAAAAAAAAATACTTTTCAAATAGAATTTACAATATTTATAAGAGATGGATAAAAAGTTTGAGTCTGTTGCTGTTATCAGGAATATGAATCAAGATAACAAAACATGTGTAAATCCCATGTTACTAAATGCTTTAAAAATTTGTACTTTTAAATTGTACTCACTGCCAACAAACAGTCAAAACTTGCAAAAATGGTTTTATATTTTATGATTGCAAAGAATATTATATCAGGATAGTACTATCTGGGAATGTAAATGCTAGAATAACTTATTTATAGAATATAATTTTTTTACATTATTTATCCACCAGTAGGCTATATCTTTATGAATAGAAAAGGAACATAGAAACAACAAAATTTTATCTCATAAATAATATAACATTCCAGTCAGTGATAGCAATTGGATTTAGTTTTTATTTGCATTTTAGAATTTGTGAAATAGGATATACAGTATCAATACCATTCTCTGTTAAAGTCAACATTTAGAATTGAAATGATCACTGACAATTATACAAACAGGGGCCTATTTTTAGTTCAAGTTCATGAGGAAACAGTGTTTCAATGAGATGTGCTGTAGCTAAATTACACATTAGTCAAGTATTCATCACTATTTCCTCAAACCATGGAAGTCCTCCAGTATTGCAAAATACTATTAATTTCTTTTCTACCCTGCTTATTCTATTCATTCTCATTCTTCATTGCATGACTAAAAATATTATCTGGATTTTGTTCACATTTAAAATGTCTCTTTATATATTGCTGAATGTGCTGATGTACTTTTTATGCAAGTTCAGAAATTGAGTTCCCTGCAAGATGCAGAAGAAAGCATCATGTTGTACTAGAATAAGACTAACAAATGTATTATCTAAGGAAAATATAAAATAAATTTTTGAAATGAATATGTATGGTATTTAATACATTACTTTACTGGCCAGTGCATTCTTTATTGTAAATGACGTGTTAAAATCATTACTTATCATGAAGTAATGAAATCTTGCAAAATTAATTAATCTGAATTTATGTGGAAATACATGTTAGTAAAACAATTTGTATCTTATGCATAATTTACATTCATAAATAAAATTCCTTATTTGAAAGCCAAGATATAGCTGCTTAGTTTCTTGTGACATATTATACAAAAGGATGCAAAAAATGTCCACAAAATGCTTCAAAACAAATATTAACAATATTGAATTTGCTGATTTATACTTATTTGTTTTATCAATTAGAAATTCATGAATAAATTGCTAAGATAGCAGTTATTTTCAATATCATCAATAAAATGTAGACACTCAAGGTAATTTTCAGAGCTTCAAACATATTATGTGGAATGTGGCAAGCAATATCCTCTGTCAATCAAAATTATCTATACATATTGGAAGAATTGTAGTATTAAGTGGCGCACACAATCTCTCAATGCGTAACAAATGTGTGTAAGTACACATACACTTATTTATATAAAGACATACACATGTGTATACATTATGTAAGTTTCTATATAATTATATCTGTTTGTGTATGTATTCTAAAATCTGTCTAGCTCATTTCTATTTCCATGATCTACAGTTCCAATGTAATATATTACAAAACAAAGTCTTCTTCTATCAACCAATGGAATTAAAAATTATTTATATTAAATTTGGATGTAAAAAGATAACTTCGTTATATTAATATTAATTTCCCTGCAATTTTTTTGAAAATATTTTGCAAAGTTAAAACATTCCCTTTACAAATTTAATTATTAAATTATTGGCATTTCATGCTTTTAACATATGCTGTTACTTTTTTCTTAGAATTGCAAATGGTATTTATCAAAGGTAAATATTTTTATGCAATGCAAAACTCCATATATAAGCCATATTGTAATAAAACTAAATAACAGTTATAATGAAAAATCGTGTTCTTATCAGGCTTATTTCATTGTCACATGAAGAGACTTGGATCATTTGTGAAAGTACTAAGAGTGTGGTGTTGTTGTGTATAAGTGTATGTGTACAAAAACACATGCATTTTTGTTATAACAAGGATATTTTTTATTTTTGCTCTCTCTTATGTATTAACAATATTCTTAGTGTTCTAAATAACTCATAAGTATAACAGGTACTACAGAATATACTTAATATTTTTGCTTTGGAATTAATACAAATATTCTGTGATATTTTGAAAAATGACTATCATTTAGAAAATAATAAATTGTGCATGTATCTTGGTTACTAAAAACATGTTCATTGACATAATTATAAATGCCAAGAGTTGAACTCAGTCTTTAGTTAATTCTAATTTTAATATATAGAGCCAGTGACAGTATTTCTCAGAAGTTACTAGAGGAATATTCTTGGTGTTTGTAAAACACAGATTTCACAAAATTAATATTTTCAGTGAACAACAAACATTAACAAATTATTACCACACTGATTTTTATTAATATTGTTTTAGCAATCAGCCAATATTTCCTAGAATTTCTAATTGGGAACATTTAAAATAAAGAAAATGTATACCACAGTTTTTCAACTTTTCATTTATCCCAGTTAATTTAATCGAATAATCACCTTTTTCTGTTTTGTTGAAGAGCACCATAGAAACAGCATGCAATTAAAGAATAAATAAAAACCAGAAAGGTGTTGTTTTCTTGATATTTTAGTTCTTGATACATTTTTCTTTGAAACACCTTGGGTTTGGTGCATGGTACGGTGATATTTTTTAAAATATGAATTGTGAAATTCTGTATACATACATTTGTTATTTGAGGAAATGAACAATTCTATATCACCATTTTGCTTTCCTGTAGAACATCTCACTGCATATAAAATAAATATTAAATAGAACAATATTATATCTTGATCTGCAATTATTAACAGGATTGTACAAATAACTGGATAAAATATTACACATTTTTCTAATAGACCCAGTTATAAAAACAGTAAGTACACCAATATCTTTTGTACAATGCAAGTATAAATGTATGAAAGTGTTCCACGCTACAGTTTTTGTAGGTATTGAGTAATGTCACAGTAGTGACACACCACTGGCACAGTTTGCATCAACATGGTTAGGGGATAAACACATTTGGATAGAAATGCAATTGTTTTAAACTCATTTTGACAGCACATGATACATAATGTTGTTAAGTTACTCAAATTCTATATGCAGTGAGAATGCTGGTAAATCTGAAGGAGCAAGAACAATTTAAATAAAACATCTTTTATACATTTTCTTTTAATATTGCTCCTCACCTGTTCAGTAATTGACATGTCACAGGATTTGCAATTATGTGCCATTATCCTCAAATTCTTGTGCATTAAAATATTGAAAACATTACAAGTTTCAGTCTGTACAAATATGATACATTTTTTGCCATGAATATTATTCTTTTGAAATGAGAAATGGGAGACAAAGATTCTTTTCTCTGAGAGGAATACATTATAACAATAGTCCTTTTTTATGTAAATTTTCATACCCTAAAACTAGAAAACCATAATCTTTTAACAACAGACAAATGGGAAGTTATATAATTGAAGTTTATTTCCTTCAAAGTATGAACTGCACTTTTGCACATATAATTAAAATTCATTCATGCGATTGTAACAAAAAGACACCAAATTGGTGTTCATTTTTGTTTATATAACATTTCTTCAAACATAATGTATCCTTTGTTTTATTTGTTCAAAGGTAACAATGATTACTTGTAACTTAAAGATTAAAAGTACTCATGCCTGACTATTCATTAGGAAAAGCACAAGACTTTCATGCCATTTTAACAACTATCTCATGAGAATGTTACAATGTTTCACTCATGTTTCACTCACCTATAGTATCAGTCTCAACAATGTAATTTTTATATTATTTTTTATTCATATTACTCCATAGTTCTGAAGATATTCCAGAGAGTTCAGGCAAGGTAAAAGACTGATTTCTTACACAGCCATATTCTGAAGAAGCTGGTTACCTTTGGTCAACTATGGAATGGCAAGTTGTCAAAAGATCTAAAGCATGGCATTGCCAGGAATGGGGAGTGAATAATGACAAGAACAGTGGCATGAAAAGTGTTTTCAATATCTTTTGGTGTTGTGGGTTGGAATATTTGTAATTTTGGTTCACAAAGTGGAGATGCGCACCTCTGGTTGCTGATCAGGTGATGTAGCTGGCGAGGCACTAGGTGAGGCCGGTGATGTAGGCTCCACCTCAGAACCAGGATATGAGGCTGGTAGATTAACAACCACTGAAGCAGTCATAGTTGATGATGTGGTAGAATTAGGTTTGCTGATTGAAACCAATGAGGCTGACCCACCACCACCTGTTCCCCCAGTTCCAGCGCCTGTTCCTCCTCCTGAGTTTGTTTGGTTCAAACTGGCTCTTGAAAGTCGATCTGGTGTTGGCTCACTAGGTGGTGACCTGTTTGACTGCATCCGAATCTGTATGTCATTGAGTTCTTCATCATGGGCTGTTGATTCTGGTGTTGCTCCACGTTGATGCTTCTGAGAAGAAGACATTTTTATATGCAGAGGATTGTGTTGGTAATGGGACCCACAAAAATTGTTTTAATTATATGAGTACTGATCTCATTATTTAAGTGAGAAACCATATAAAGATCAGATCATAAATTATCAATGAGCATTTATGTCTTCATGTACAAGAAAAATTTAACATTTGAATAGCACAATCTTCTTTGAAAAATTAGTCAAGTAATTTAAAAACTTTTAAATTTCCTCTCAAAGTTGACAATTAGATAAGTAGACAAGCCAAGCGTATATTATGTATTTGCAGTTGCATATTTCACTGAGTCTACCAGATGTCATTTCCTAAAAATCAAAATTTGATGTGTTGTTTGCTAGAAGTGATACTATCATTATTATTGTCAATTTTTTAAAAATTCTAACAAAACACATTCTTTTTTATACTTATTTTATGAAATATGTTCTTATAACAAATTAATGTAATTTTTATATTTTTGAAAATGTATCCATGGAATTTTATTCAGATTTATGTTTGAAACACCACTTCTCTTAGAAGTTGTAAAATTTTACACAAAAAATTATGTTCACTGACATTGGAAAAATTATGTCAATTTCTTATTCATTCTGTCAAAGCTATTTTAAAAATTAGTTGTTGTTTTTTTTCCTTCAGAAAATCAGGTGATGAATTGAAGTTCAAGTTTAAATAAGAATTTTTAAATATTCTGGAAATCAAATTTGATTTTGTTTCCATTGTTTATGCATTTTTAAACTAATAATTATATTATATTTCCCTAGAAGAGTATTACTTCTAGCATTCAAGACAATACAGAAGTAAACATATACATGATTAGGCGCAATTTGAAACCTTTGAGAACATCTTATAAGGCACTCAAAATACTCATTAAAGAGATAATTATCACATTCTCTGTTCTCCGTTATACTGTTTTTTATGAACTTATATTTCAGTTTTTCTTCATAGAAATTTACTACTGAAATTAAACTCATTTATCTCTAAAAAAATGTTTTTTTCAAATCATGTGCATGTATACTCTGCTCCTATTGATCAACATCTTATAATGATGGTGAGAAAATGTAATGGAGATGTGCACCTTTTAATTAGCTGCCCATTTCCAAATTATCTACAACTAAATTGTAACTATTTCTACCACTAGATCTTGGTCACTAGTTCCCACATGCGTTAAGGGAAAAAAGAAAGAAAGAAGAAGAGAAGATGGACAGCGAAAGAAGAACATTTTTGTGTCTTTCTTTTATGTATATATATATATATATATATATATATATATATATATATATATATACATATTCGAACTAAAAATATGAAAAGCTTGTCATTCCGACCCTTCACATCATCTGCTTCTGCATCAAAGATTCATAAAGCAACTGAGAGCAAATTTTAACATTTTACAACCTTGTCTAATAGTAAAATTGGTTGACTGATTCACTGTAAATTGCAAATAAGTAATTTATTATTAAATTTATGAATGTCTTCCTTCTTTTGAAGTGACTTTGATGCAATAACATATAAGATGTGATTTATGCATGCAGCAGGAAGCACAGACTACTACATATTTGTTGTGCTAGATCTTGAAATTCATCCAGAAAGAGATTCTACAACCATGCTCAGCACATAGTGGACATAGGACATATGTAAAACCGTATCACAAAATGACAGATATCAAAATATCACAAAATGGTAATTGAATTACCTTGGTTCGTACTTCAATCTTGTCGCTATAGACAAGGACCACACGGTCCTTGCCCGGGCTGGTAGCCAGGAAGGGGATGCTCTTGACGCGCACACGCACGATGGCATGCACGGGAGTGGGCGAACGGGCGGACACGGGCGGGCAGGCCATGCAGTGGCATCATGCAGGCACAGAGAGCAGAGCGTGGCACGGTGAGGCGAACAGGCGATCGGGCGAACAGGCGAACGGTCACAGTTGGTTGAGCATGAGAACAGGAGGGAAGACGAGAAGAGAAGAGGGGCAAATCAGAACGAGGCCTCTACAAGACAAGTGCTGTCCATCCCGCCCCCAGACTGGTCGCCCGGTTCAGCCCCAGCGGCGGGGAGGTACTGGCTGGCAGCCCGCTGAAATACAGGGAGGGTTTGTGAGCCTTGCCCCCACCACCATGGCTGTTGCTGCTGAAAGAAGCTCACACTCACACTAGTCCTTGCATTTAACGAGAATAATAGGAAGAGTTATTATTATAGGATGGGAAGGCATGATATCAGGTAATGTAAAATGGATTTAATAAATTATTTCTACCTGATTGTTGAACACTGGCATTTAGAGCTAATGTGAGGCATCAATACTCTGTAATGCAAAGTCTTGTCAATTTACATGAATAGTCATCAAAGTAAAAAAAATGTAATTAATGCAGTGTATTTTAAAGTGTTCCATTGCAAAATTCATAGTGAGTGTACTGTGATGGTTCTGAAAGGACAGGACAACATGAGTGTTATCTACATATGCAGAATTTAAATAAAGTTGTTATTCTTGCCATAGCATTTACCAAATTACACTTTTTAGAGATATTTAACTTTTTCATGCATTTCATTCTCTGTTGGACTAAAAGGGAAGTATAGCTGGTCTGTGGGTTTAAACTAATTTGTGTATCTATTGTAAAATTTATTTCAGCTTGTCTAATATGTTTCTATTAATTGAAAGAACTTTTAATGCAAAAATGGGAAGCAAAATACTAAATTTTAATAAGGAATATTTTCAAGGATAAAATAATTGTAAATGACATACCGTTCAAATGTAACTGCATGACAGTTCAGAATGGTGGCTAAAAACAGAAAAGAGATAAACAAATCTAGGGAAGTCACATCTTAATAGTTTCATACATAACTACAAAAAGTTTGCATAGTCTTGAGATATGGATACAAATTCTGAATCAATAGAAGTACTGTAAATAGTGAGTTAAATGTAGTTTGTGGGAGAAATGGTCCATTAGTGTTTTAGATTTTAAAATATGTTAAGCTCATAAGTTAAATTGCATGCATTAACTTATAAATTATGATGAACATTTTCTTTCTTTCTACCTGAGAATTTTAAATACAAATAAATTAATTGAGGACAACAACTATCAATAATATCTGAATTTAACAAATTTAAATCAATATGAAAATATTGTTATCTACTAAAGTAACCAAACTTTTTAAGTATCTACATGAAAATGAAAAATGTTATATATTCTTAAAATAACAATAAAAGTCAACAACAGTCTCATTTATCATATAAAAAATTTATAATTTAGTCATTTGCTTTATAAATTATCATCATATGAAAATAACTTTTCAGAAAAAAGACATAGTTGAATTACAATCAAAGTAAATTGTTCTGCTTTATTTCATTTTCTATTCAAATAAATACTTGTTCCCAATTATTTTCACACAAAGTAACAAAAAATTGTCGATTTTCTCATTTTTGAATCCAATGTTGCTCTATCATTTACATTATTAACAATATTATAAAATATAATGTGAATGGAGAAAACTGCTTTAAGTTCTCACTATTTCCTATAAGCTACATAAATAGTGACATTACATAAAATTATTTTAAAGTAATATTAATTTTCAATAGTAAATTATAAATATCTTCTTTGGCAATTTGTTCAAAATATGGAATTTTTACTCTGAAGAATAAAACTGTCATCTGAATAGAGTCTGCGAAGAATGTCAATCCTTGAAGAATGTTCAGGGTCTTCCTGCTTGTTGGATGTTTGCTTGTTACTGCAGTTTTATATAATACAATCCAATGATAATCCATGTCGATATTTAAATGAACTTATAAAATTGTGACAGATACAATATGGTAAATACCAATACCGATCGCTGCGAGCTTAAACACTTTCCCGCTCGTGCGTACCGGGGATTGAGAAGTCGTAGGTGCCTCTGCAGGCAAA